ATTTTGTTGTGTTTGGTGGCATCCCTCGGCCCCACGCCCCTTTTGGTATCCGGGCAAAATGGGGCCATTTTCCTCCCTTTTTCTTTTTCTTTTTTTAAGTTTTTTAAAGTCAGTTTATCAATAGCCAGGGAACACTCACATGGTTCAAAAGTCAAAAGGTTGAAAAAAAGAAAACAATTTCCCTCTTCTCACTAGCTTCACAGTCCGGCTTCTTGCGTCTCTTTTCAGAGCTATGAAAGCAGTTTATGTTTATGTTCATACTTTGGCTTAACTGAATGTAGATTATCAGAGGGATGTCCTCGTCATTTTCCGGGCCTGCTATAAAAGCTGATGTGAATTTTTAACGCGTTTGTAGTCAAATTTGGAATCGAGGTACGGTTAGGACACAGTGCAAAACTATTAAGTTGCTTCGCTTTTGATGGAACTAGTCTTGACAACTTAAACTGACAGACCCCTTGTTAAAACAGCATGTTTACATCCTCCTCCTGTTCCCTTTTCTTATGTGAATATAAGTAATACTTGAAGTCTCTCACTCTCACTGCCGTCCAGTCGAATCCGACCCATAGCGACCCCTCCCTTGGGTTTCCAAGGCAGTATCACTATGGAAATAGACTGCCCAACCTTCCTCCCGGGAAATGGCTGGTGGGTTTAACCTGCCAGCCTGCTGGTTAGCAGTCAGGTGCCTTAGGGGCTGCGCCACCACAGCTCCCAGTTGAAGTCTAGGGAGGTAAAATTGATTTCTTCTTTTCAATGTGATTAGTAGGAATTTTGTTTTTGGTAAAAGTGACGTTTCAGTTTCATTGAGTCAGCAGATTTTGGAGTGCTAGACACTTGTCCTACAGTGCTACAGCAATAAATAAAAGACTGTAGCTGGAGTCATGGAGCTTAATGTGCTACCTGGGCAGTGGTAAGTGCTACAGAGAAAAAGTAAAGCAGGCATAAGGGTGGAGGGAGGGAATTGTTTTCCATTAAGGGGAAAAGGGAAGGCCACTCTGATACTTGAGTAAGAGACAAAAGAAGTAATAGAAAGCCAGGTGGATGTCTGGGGAACAGTGTTAAGGGTAGAGACAAGTGCAAAGGCCCTGAGGTAGGATTGTAGCTGATACGTTCTTGGAGCATCACAGAGACCTGTATAGCTGGAGTGGAATAAGCAAGAAGGAAAATTCTAGGAAATGAAATCAGGAACAAAAGTAAGCTGGATTCATCCTACTCTCAAAATAACATTTAGATGATCACAAGTTTAAGTGTCAGAATTGAAATCCTAAAATGACTGAGACAAATATGGACAAGTATAAATATATATTTGAATATTAGCATGGTGATACATAACCACAAAACCAAGAAAACAAAGAAAAATTTTTATATATTTGATTACATAAAAGAAACTTCTAGGAAAATGAATTTGCTCTATAAACTTTCACCCAAATTACAATAGAAACTAAAAAAATTAAACACTTCTCATGATAAAGTCAGAGGGCAAACTGGGAAAGGTCTCCATACTTTGCACTGCGGTTAGTTTACTAAATGTCCAAAGAGCTCCTAGAAATAAGGAAAACTTGATAGAAAAAGAAGGAGTTCTGGTAGCATAGTGCCTAAAGCACTTGACTGCTAACCAGAAGGCTGACGGTTCAAACCCACCAGCCACTCCTCGGAAGGAAGATGGGGCAATCTACTTCCGTAGTGATACTGCTTTGGAAAGGAGGGGTCGCTGTGAGTCGGGTCCGACTCGACGGCACATAACAACAACAACAATAGAAAAAGGGGAAAGAAATTGAACAAGAAGTACACAGGAAAGGAAATGAATGACTCAAAAACAAACGCAAAAATATTGTGATTAATTAAATAAGTGAGAGCAAGGAAATGCCATCTTTTATCTATCAAATGTTGTTATGTGCCATTTAGGCGAACCTGATTCACAGTGACCCCTCCTTGGGTTTCCGAGGCAGTATCATTACAGAAGTAGATTGCCCTATCTTCCTTCTGAGGAGTGGCTGGTGGGTTTGAACTGCCATCCTTCTGGTTAGCAGTCAAGTGCCTTAAGTAGTACGCTATCAGAGCTCCCATCTGTCAAACAGCAATATCCAAAGTTAGTTAGGTGTATGAAAACAGTACACTACTGCATTGTTAATAGGATGAAACAGGCACAACTTGGGAGGGCTTTCTGATAGTATGTAACATTCAAAATCCATGTTCCCTTGTTGTTGTTGTTGTTGTTGTTGTTATGTGCCGTGGAGTCGACCCTGACTCATAGCGACCCCTCCTTGGGTTTCCGAGGCAGTATCACTACAGAAGTAGGATTGCCCAACCTTCCTTCCGAGGAGTGGCTGGTGGGTTTGAACCGCCGGCCTTCTGGTTAGCAGTCAAGTGCTTTAGCCCACTATACTACCAGAGCTCCCCCATGTTCCCTTAGACATAGCAATTTTAGTTCTAGAAATTTTTTCTACAGAAATGTACTTGAGTACAAAGGAGTACATAATGGAAATATGTCTTCCCACAACCTACTCTGTCCCCGGATTCATGTCCCTGAGGCAACCACTACTTGTCATCCCTTGTTGTTGTTGTTGTTATTTGCTGTCGGCCCCGACTCATAGCGACCCCTCCTTGGGTTTCCGAGGCAGTATCACTACAGAAGTAGGATTGCCCAACCTTCCTTCCGAGGAGTGGCTGGTGGGTTTGAACCGCCGGCCTTCTGGTTAGCAGTCAAGTGCTTTAGCCACTATACTACCAGAGCTCCCTTGTCATCCCTAGTCTGTTACATATCCTTTTTGCTCATTCAACCCACTGCCATTGGGTAGATTGCGATTCATAGTGACACTACAGGACAAGGGTAGAACTGCCCACCTTTTGGTTAGCAGCCAAATACTTTCACCACTGTACCAACAGAGCTCCTTTTTGCTCATAGCACTACTAAAAAAGAAAAGCCCACCACCATCGAGTCAGTTCTGACTCATAGTGACCCTATTGCACCGAGTGTAACTGCCCCATAGAGTTTCCAAGGCTGTAAATCTTTATGGAATCAGATTGCAACATCTTTCTCCTGCAGAGTAGATGGTGGGTGTGAACCACTGACTTTGCGGTTTGCACCAAGCACTTTTAACCACTGTGCCACCAGAGCTCCCTATAGTAATGCTTGCACACTAGATAATCACTTGGTTCTGCAGCTTGCCTTTTAAAAGAAAAATTATATTGGAGTCTGTGTGTCTACACATAGCTCTGTTTCATTCTTTTCTCACTGATTGCATTGTATTCCATTATGACTGAATCATAATTTTTTCACTGTAGAAAATTTCAAACATACACAAATATAGAGAGAAATGTATAATGAAATACACACATACCCTTCCCCGAACTCCACTGAATTATTAGTTCATGGCCAATTGTTCTCATCAGTATCTTCAACTATCACCCAACCCCAACTTCTGGGATTATTTTGAAGCAAATGCTAGGCATTACATCATTTTACATACTGTAGCACATATTTCTAAAAAATAAGCTCTTTAAAATGATACATTTAAATTTTATAGATAGTAAAATTGACTTTTGGGTATACAGTGATGAATTTTAACACATGTAAATTTGTGTAACCACTACCAAAATCAGGAGACAGAAGATAGAACAGTTCTATCAGAAAAGCCCCCGTTGTGCTGATCCTTTGTAGTCAATTTTTGGTAACTGGAAAAGAGCTGAGTAAACTGTCAAAGAACAGAGAATAAAGGGGAACAGTGGAATATTTAAATTTAGCAGGAAGCCCTCTTTATGTAGATCATATTTGATCGCTACTGTGGTACACTACACAGATCTCCCTTTAGCTGTTGGGAGTGCTGGTAGCAGAGCGCCCTTAGTTACCTCTCTTGGAGGATTGCTGAAGAGAGAGCTGCCTTGCAAAGTCATGCCCTCTTGTTAGAGCAGCCAGAATGCTATGACTGACTGACTGGGGTTGGAAAGACTTGGCCCCCTCATCCTAACTCATATAACTCTAAAGGGCCTTTCTAGTTGCAGAGCGCCCCATGACTGCAGCTGAGGTTTAGGGGGTTGTGTCGTAGTTGAACTCTGCTCACTCCTTCCTTCTCTTGCCGCAAGTGTTTTCTCAACAGCATTCCCTAATAAACATCATATGTGTTCATCTCTGTCTTAGAGTCTGCTTCGCAGAGAGTTCAACTTAATGATATGATTTAGTTAATTTGCAGAATCTGTAAATACAAAGCAAAAAATGACTAAGCTTGCAGAGTATTACTATTTTATATATTAGAGTCTAGAATACTCTTATTGTTTCGATGGTGCTTTTCAGAAGGGTAGACATTACTGAACATGCATGTCTTACGCTCTTAACCTTTTGAATCAAAAATAGATGTCTGTGAATGAGGGGGGAGGTGCAGACCTTCTTTCTGGCCAGAGCCCACAGAACATGCACTATATGTTTGCTTTACACAAAAGAGGCTAATGTTAATCTGTGGTGGTCTCTTCCTTAATAGAACCACAGAATAAGAGAACTCCAGACTTGCCTGAAGAAGAACCTGAAGAGGAAAAGATCAAGGAGAATGAAGAGGCAGTCAAAAAGATGCTTATAGAAGCCACCCAGGAGTTTGAGGAGGTTGTGGTATGTTAACTAGACTGACTTACTTGTATTTTTCCCTGCCTCCACTCTTCATCTTTGAAAATAATCATCACATTTACCCGTTTCCTATACTGGAGGCCCACAGAAGTAAGAGAGAAGTCCACATTGAGGAAGATAATGGAAAGTAAAAATGATCTGGACCTCAGGCATGAAACTTGTGGTCTTTGGAAGGCCAGATTAAGGTGGTGGTGGTGGTGAAACAGGCACAGTTATATTTACGCAGTATAAAGCATACCAATTTGCTAACTTTGATCCCAGAGTAAGTCTTTAAATGTTAGGACTGTGGATTTATCTTTAAAACTGTTCTTACGGTTTTCAGTAACATAAATGTAATTTTTTTTTTTTTTTTTTACGTTCATTGTAATTTTTCTTTTCAAGCAAGTTTAGCTTTTTGTGTACTTAGTCTTTTTAATTCAATCTTGCTACTAATACTGTGTTAAAATCTGTTCAACAATAGCAATGGAGAAGGGCAGGAATCTGTAACATGATGATAATTTAAAAAAAATCCAAATTATTTATACATTTCTTCTCCAAGGCAGAGGATCCTGTGAATTAAGTTTTCTTACTAATGGAAAGAAAATGGTTGGGCTTCAATCTGAAATAGGAAATAATTTAAAGTTTCTGTAATTGGTATGAGAAGGAATGTGCAAGAATTGGTAGAACTTAAAGATTTGTTGCCTTCTGTAATGTGCCTTTGGTTTATTATTTCATACTTCGTTCATTTTCCATAAACTGTCGAATGATCTGAGTTTTCATCGGATTTGGCCCACATAGGTCTCTTTTCATTTGACATCTTTCTTTGTAATGTGTCTAAGTGTAGTAAAGCTTGGAGTTTCTAATACATGTTTTTGATGACTTATTTATAGGCACTGGTAGGAAGTGAGGGTGCAGTGATGAGGAAAACACATGTGATGTCTGCCCTCATGGGATTTACAATCTGGAATTAAATATTTAACAAATAATCCAGTGCATACTTATGTGTGTTTGTGTATACACATATGTTCTTCCTTATTCAGTCCAATTTCTTGTATTTTGGAATACAACATGCAAGCATATACACTCCCTCAGCCACCTATACGCACACACTGCCCACTACATATACACACACACCTGCTGTGTGCTATCAAATCTATTCCAACTCATAACGACCCCATGTGACAGCATAGAACTGCCTTGTAGGGTTTGCTAGGCTGTGATCTTTATGGATCTCCAGGTCTTTTCTCCTGTAGAGTTGCTGGTGGATTTAAACAGCTGATCTTTTGGTTAGCAGCCAAGCACTTAACCATTGTGCCACTAGAGGTCCATATATATACATGTATATACATATATATGTATATACGTATATATGTGTGTGTGTGTGTGTGTGTGTGTGTATATATATATGGACAGTGGCAGGAACAGGGACAGTTATATTTAAACAGTATAAAGCATATATATACATATATGTCCATAAATGTATATATGCACATCAGCACAGATAAATGGGAGAAGAAACAGAGCATGTTAGAAAACTGAAGAAACTCCAATATGATTGGAGTTCAAAGAGCAGAGGGGTAGTTAGGTTGGGAGAGATGATATCTTACAAGAGTTTATGACTTGGTAATTAGAAATTGGTCTTGTCCATTACTTTCTCTAGGAGGAGGAGAGTGAGAGCCCTGGTTTTGAAATACATATAACGATGTGTGATGATGATCCATCCACACCTGAGGAGGACTCGGAGACACAGCCTGATGAGGAAGAAGAAGAAGAAAAAGTTTCTCAACCAGAGGTGGGAGCTGCCATTAAGATCATCCGGCAGTTAATGGAAAAATTTAACTTGGATCTATCAACCGTTACACAGGCCTTCCTTAAAAATAGTGGTGAGCTAGAGGCTACCTCCTCCTTTTTAGAGTCTGGTCAGAGGGCTGATGGCTACCCCATTTGGTCCCGACAAGATGACTTAGATTTGCAAAAAGATGATGAGGCTTCTCGAGAGGCACTGATTAAAAAGTTTGGTGCTCAGAATGTGGCTAGGAGGATTGAATTCCGAAAGAAATGAGTGACAAGATAATGAGAAAAAAAAGGTGTGGCAAGTGAGGAGTTAAAAAAATTTGTGTTCATTGCACTTTGGATAGTTTGTACATTGGAACTAATACTTGCCTTTTGGCCAATACTGCCACTGCTCTGTGAGTGCTAGGTTGTGTAGCCAAGCAGTTTGTAGGAGGCTAAAAATCCAAGAAATTAGATATATATAGTTAGAGCTATCCCAAGTATGTGTCAGTGAAAGGAAAATCTAGACCAGAAACAGATTGGTGTACTTAGTAGTACTCCTTTGCTGGAATGGTGCTCCTGCTATATGGGTGACAGGAGCTGGTGACAAAGTCAAAGGAGGAAGAAGAGGAGTTAAAGGTCTTTTCAGGCAGCATGAGTAAAGAGCCTCCTGTTCCTTGGCAGAAGCTCCTCTAGATAGTGATGGATTCCACATCAAGAATCTGGAAGTACAGAAAGATGTAATTACAAGGCTTTGAATGTGGACTTTCCCAAATCCTTGCATCTCTTGGTACATCTCCCAGTGAGTGCTGATTTCTAGACTGCTTTGAAAATCCCATGTTGTTTTTGTTAATGTATTACCTGTGGACCCTGTTCCTTGGCTGTTCTTTGAGCTGTTGTTAGGTCTCTAGCATGCATTCCTTTAAGTACCACTTAATTTTGTTTAAAACACACAACCTTAGAGAGTCTTAAGAACAGTCTATTAGTGGTAATGTGTTCTTTATTGAAAATAGTTTTGTGCTAAGGACTGTATTAGATTTAAAAATGAGTAGGTTCATTCCCCATTGTTGTGTTGATTTTATTATTGAAAATAAATATAACTTCATATTTGTGTCTTCAACAAGTGTTTTATTTTTGGTATACCCCAAACCTTCTAGGTATAAAAACCATAAAGGAAGTAACATTCTGTGCTATATTTAATTAGAACTTATAGAGTAATTTCATTTTAGAATTAACAGACCAGTAGAAAAGTGCTAGCTCCTTTGGATAGAGCAAATGAAAGGTCTGGCTAAAGGACTGAGAAGTGGCAAGAGAAGGTGAGCTTAGAACCAAAGGGGAGAGAACTAATCAGGAACCAGCTAGCATGTAACAGAAGGTGTCACTGTCCCACCCCATCCTCTAGGCGCTTACCATGCTAGCACATGCCAACAAAGGGAGTCCTGCTGTAAGCACTTTCTCTCTGCTTGAAGTGCCAGGAAGTTAATGCTCCTGGGAGCAACCTTCAGCTAATGGTGAATGGGAGTTAGAGGATGTATATCCAGCTTTCTTGGTAACCAGAGAAATTATTCAGATGAATATTTGAAAGCTACTTGAGTGGGATAATGGTTTCCATGCCATCTCTTAGCGATCCCCAGCCAGATGAACAAGATTAACAAGAACCATTAACAACCTGCTATATGCAGATGGCACAGTGTTGCTTGCTAAAAGTGAAGATGACTAGAAGCACTTACTAATGAACAGCAAAGACTATAGTCATCACTATGGATTACACCTCAACAGAAAGAAAATGAAAATCTTTGCAACTGGACCTGTAAGCAGTGTCACGATAAAGGAGAAAAGATTGAAGTTGTCAGGGATTTCGTTTTACTTGGATCCATAATCAACACCCATGGAAGCTGTCGTCAGGAAATCAGACATTGGTATTGCATTGGGAAAATCTGCTGCAAAAGACCTCTTTAAAGTGTTAAGAAGGAAAGATGTCACTTTGAAGAATAAGGTGTGCCTAGCCCAAGCCATGCTATTTTTGGTTTCCTCATATGCATGTGAAAGCTTTGAATTGTGGTTTTGGCAAAGAATACTGAAAATACCATTGAGTGCCAGAAGAACAAATAGGTCCTGGAAGAAGTACAGCCAGAATGCTCCTTGGAAGCAAGAATGGCCAGACTTCATTTCACCTGGTCATATTGTCAGAAGGGACCACTGGCCTGGAGAAGGAGATCATGCTTGGTAAAGTGAAAGGTCAGCAAAAAAGAGGAAGACTGTGAATGAGATGGATTGACACGGTGGGAGCACTGATAGGCTCAAGCATAGCAAGGATTGTGAGGATGGTGCAGGACAGGACAGAGTTTCATTCTGTTGTACACAGTGTAGCTATGAGTCGGCTCTGACTGTCGGCACCTAGCTACAACAGCAACAGCACGATTAAATATAGTTGCCTGTAGTGGTAATCTGCTTCTGAAAGTACTCTGCATTAGCTTCCTTTTTTTGTCTCACTTCCCACTTCCCTACTGTTGCATCCTGGAGTCACTAGTTATACTCATTCTTCCCTTATGTTCTGTTTCTGAGGGAACCCAGCTTAAAGTACTTAATCTTTCCCTCCTCAGCATGTTGAATACTTGAGGGATACAGCACACTCCCAGTAGTAACCATAGCTTGTTACAGTAAGAATTCTCAAATGAGTGTTGGGAGGGGTTGATGGTGGCATTTGTTTAAAATGTGTCCCCTTCCATTCTACTTTGACTCTCTAGGGCAGTTGAAAATTATTGCTTTAAGGATAAAATGGAGCCATCACCTAGAATGTATACATCTTGGTAAAGTTAACACAGCCTATGGTCTATTTTTTGCTTTAGGGGCAAAAAATTCTAATTTTGTCAAATCATGTGCAAAAGGGTCTGATTCATTATACCCAGACTCTCAAAAGACATGTTTCAGCCAAAGCATCCACCAGCCCACAGTGCTCATTATAAACCTGTAACTTTCAAATATGTGCTCACATAATTTCTCTGGTCAGTTAGTTCATCTCTCCTCCTGGGAGATTTATGTGGGAAGACAAATTACCAGAGGTATTTTTGGGAGCACAAAATTTACACAAGGAGAATGAGTCAGATGATCTTAATGGCTAATGGCATTGAGCTATGGCTGCATTAACCAGCTGTTAATGTCCAGCTTGTCCTGAAGTCAGGATAACTCGAACTGCCAGATTCTTGTTCTTAAGGATGTTCTTTTCTAGACTTCTTGAGTCTAGCACTTGTTTGCTGCTTGTACTCTGGAGACACCATCATTTCTTACTTGTTTGATCTCCTTTTGTGGGCTTTCCTCGCCATTCCTGTTCCCTACCCCCACTTTGTATTACAGCTTTAGAAATTTTCGAGGCCTTCTATAACTTGTACAACTGCATTAGTGGCAAAAGCATCCCTTTCTATCCCTTCTTTACTTCAGCAGTGGGTTGTACTTCTGGTGTTCACCTTCCTCAGTTCCTTTTAAGCAGGTGCAATTGAGTTTGAAAAGCTCAAGCTGCTGCTTGAATTGTTATGTTCTCTTGCTTTTGGTCTAATGCTGTTTGCTTGTTCATAATACCCACCTGCCATAATACGGCAGAAAACCTAACTCTAAAGGAGTTTAAACAAAGAGAATTTATATCTAACACACAAGCAATCCTGAGGTAGTCTTGAAGGTCTATTGTTCTGCTCTGCCATCTTCAGTGTGTTGCCTTGTCCTTTGGGGCTGCCTCCCTTCATGGTTGAACGATGACTGCTTCAGTTTCATCAGTAGAAGAGGAATAATTTTCTCTTAAGGGTCTCCGTTATTAGTAGTAGGAAATTTTTCTCAGAACTCCTCCCCATCATAGACTTCTCATAGGCCAGAATTAAACTCAATCCCTAGCAGGGAAAAAGGGATTACCTTGATAGACAGTCTATCCTGGGCTGCAGATATACCCTCTCCTCACTTACGACATGGTTAGGTTCCAAAGACCAGGTCATTATGTGAAAATTGGTGTTATATGAAGGTAGAGGGTGACTATGTCATTGCATAACTGCCAAACCACTGAGAGTCATGGCCCAGCCCTAACTTTAACCATCACAGGCAAAATTATTCTTGCCTCCCACCTTGATGTTAGTTACCAAGAGAGGTATGTTCTGCCAAATAGACTTTTTTTCTATTGTAAATGAGAAATGTCAGATGATGAGATAATTGATAAGTGAAGACTAAGGTGTATCATAGCCTTCCCTGGGAATGTGGGTTGGAAGAGGAAGGTGAATACTCAACCAAAAGTGAGGGGTTTGTGGTCTGCGAAAAGCTTCCATTTAACAGACAAAAATCCTGCTCATCTCCAGGAGCAAGAGTAATCAAGGACTGAATTTAGCCAGTTGGGTTCTTTCATGTCTCATCTTCCCTGTAACTTGACTTAGGGTTTTTAAATTTGCTTCCTGAGTATATTCTCTGCTTCACTACCAACAGTAACCATCTTGAGACTCTTCGTGTGTCTTCTTGGTCTAGTCTTCTTAGGTTCTGTAGCTCCCAGTATAGTCATGCCTGTCAACAGTGAGGACTCCCCCACTTGTTCTTTCTCTGATTCTCTACCTGCAGCTTGCAGAGGGTATCTTTTGAGATTACTGGCTCAGGGGTCTCTCTGGGGATGTACACCAGGTTGTTTCTCAGATCATCATTTGCAGCCTTGGGCTGCTTCAGATATGTGGCCACAAATTTGTGTCCAAACATTTGAAGAGCTCACCTGGGCTTCCTAATGGGCATTTGGCCCAGTAGCTTGTGTACTGAATTGATAGTTGTCCATAATACAGATTGGATTCCGATGCATGGCAACCCCACGTGTTACAGAGCAAAAGTGCTCCATCGGGCTTTCTTGGGTTAATAGACTACACAAAAACATTGTTCTACACCCTACTTTGGTTAGTAGCAACTAGGGTCTTAAAAGCTTGCAGTCAGCCATGTAAGATGCAACCATTGGTCTCTTCTCTCCTAGAACAAAGAAGAATGAAGAAAATCAAAGATGCATGAAAACAACTAGTCCAAGGGACTAGTGAACCATACAAACCTCAGCTTACATGAACTTGAGACCATAAGTAGATGGTGCCCAGCTACCACTGTCAACCACATGGAAAAGAATCAAAATAGGAGATTTTGGATAGAGAGGGAGAAAAATGTGGAACAAAACTCAATCATAAAAAAGACCAAGCTTACTGGTCTGATAAAGACTGGTGACACCCCTCTAGTTACTCTTCGGGCCCTGAATTGAACTCATTCCCCTGGCTTCCAGCCATTTACACAACT